CGGGCCACATTTTGGATGCCCGGAGCCAACTGTAGGCCACTTCGTGCTCTTCGAGTTCCCAGAACTCCATTCCCGGGCCACATTTTTGAATGCCCGGAGCCAACTGTAGGCCACTTCGTGGTCTTCGAGTTCCCAGAACTCCATTCCCGGGCCTTGCCCGGAGCCAACTGTAGGCCACTTCGTGTCTTCCCAGAACTCCATTCCTGGGCATGATTTTGAATGCCCGGAGCCAACTGTAGGCCACTTCGTGTTCTTCGAGTTCCCAGAACTCCATTCCCGGGCCACCTGAGGCAGGCTGAGGCTGAGGCTGAGGCAGGCTGATGCTGAGGCAGGCTGAGGCTGAGGCTGAGGCTGATGCAGGCTGAGGCTGAGGCAGGCTGAGGCTGAGGCCGAGGCTGAAGGCAGACTGAGGCTGAGGCTGAAGCAGGCTGAGGCTGAGGCTGAGGCAGGCTGAGGCTGAGGCAGGCTGAGGCTGAGGCTGAGGCAGGCTGAGGCTGAGGCTGTGTCTGTGACTGCCGTTGCCACTGCGACTGTCATTGCGAATGCGATTACGACTGCGAGAACAGCACAATTCTACAACTGGATTCTCATCTGAATCTTAAGGGGAATGCTTCCAGATATGCTCCTACACATCGCTGTTAGGTTGCTTTGCCGGGATAATTAGTGTATTTTGCAGATTTGGTTGCATCGTGCTTGTGCAGTCGCTCACCGCCACCCCCCCCGCATATTGCCACCATGTCATGTTCGCAGGATTCAGTCTTCCGCCGACGCATTTTTTGTTGCATTATATTGGGAAGCGTTGCGCTGTATTGCATTGCGACTGTGGTTGCACTCGTGCCACGTTGTATCTTGGGGCCTTATGCGTATTGAGGTGTCTTGTGGCATTCGGCGTCTTCGAGGCCTTAGGTGCATTGGGGTGTATAAGGGGCATTATGCGCCCTGTGGTGTCTGGGGAGGCGTCTTGGGATGTACATGGGCCTCAGCGTCTTGGGGCAAGCATCTGCGCGACAACGAGTCGCAGTAGCCACGTGCATTGACGTCCTGGGGTATCTAGGGGCATTGTGCGACACCGAGTCGCAAAAGCCCGTGTTTGGGCGTCTTTGGGGGGGGGGGGGCTTGGCGTATTGGCGCCATGTATGTGCGCCGTCGGTTGCAATTCTTGCTCGAGCGTTCTGCGCTTGCAAGCCGCGCGGCCCAGGGTCCGCGGCTCGACGCCCCCGCGTGCGCCCGCGCCCGCGGCCGGCCGCGGGCGCCGCGATCATCGCTGCAGCGCTGCGCGCAGCAGCGCCAATGCAACCAGCAGGACCTCGCGCAGCAGCACCAGCGCGACCAGCAGCGCCGGCGCGACCAGCAGCACCAGCGCGACCAGCAGCACCATCGCGACCATGGACGCTGTGACTGCGGCCAGCGACGTCGTGTTGGCAATCGCGCGGGGCTCGGGCCACATCCCAGATGGCGGCGATCCTGCTGGGGTGGAGATGCTCATCCAGGCGCCGACGGAGAAGCCGCCGCCGCTTGAGCCGACGCCGACGTGGCGGCGGCCGCCGCCGAAGGTCCCGCGCCCGCCAGCGGCGCCTGCCCCGCGCAGCTTCCGCGGGCGATCGCGGTCGCGATCGCGGACGTCGCCGCAGGGCGGCGCCGAGGCGGTGCCCGCGGAGAAGGCGCGCCCGATGGGGGGTCGTCATCAGGCGGTGGGCACAGCCCAAGTGGAGGAGCGGTGCAGCGGACCAGCTGCTCGAGAGGCTGAACATGGCCCCCGCGATGTCGCCGCGGCTGAACACCATGAAGTTCGCCGACGCGTCCGAGGTCGCCGACGCGGTGGAGGACGGCGACGACGACGGCGACGACGACCACAGGACGACAAAGGCTCGGTCGACGACCAGGCATTCGCCGACCAGTGCTACAAGAACATCGGCGCCGACGACAGCTACATTGGCGACGATGGCTGGCCGCGCGGGCGACGGCAGCTGCGCGGGCGACGGCAGCTCCAGGGGCGACGGCAGCTACGCGGGATACGGTGGCTACAAGGGCGACGGCAGCTACGCGGGATGCGGTGGCTACAAGGGCGACGACAGCTACATTGGCGACGGCGGCTGGGCCAAGCGCAACAAAGACGGCAGCTGCGACGACCGCAGCTACTCGCGCTATCAGGGCGACGGCAGCTACAAGCGCGACGGTCGCTACGCGGGCGACGGCAGCTGCGCTGGCGACCGTGGCTACACGGGCGACGGGGCGACGGCAGCTGCAAGGGCGACGGCTACTGCAAGGGCGGTGGCTACACGGGCGGCAGTTCCGACGGCAGCTACTGCACGGGCGGCGGCGGCTACAAGCGCCGCGGCGACCGTGGCTACACGGGCGACGGCGGCTACAAGGGCGACAGCCCCGACGGCAGCTACTACGCGGGCGACGGCTACTACAAGGGCGACGGCTACTACAAGGGCGGCGGCTACTACAAGCGCGGCAGCTCCGACGGCCGCTGCGCGGGCGCCGACGGCAGCTACGCGGGCGACGAAGGCAGCTACATTGGCGACGACAGCTACAAAGGCGACGGCAGCTACGCGGGCGACGACGGGCATCGTCGGCCGACGCCAAGGGGCGGGAAGCACATCCGCTTGGCCAAGTCGCTCGCGCGCACAGAGCTGCTCGATCCCAGCCGCGTGGAGGAGCTCGAGAACGAGGACGGGAAGTGCATCGAGTGGAGTAGGCGTAGGCGTGTGCCCTGGCGGGGCCGGGCCAAGGCGCAGGAGGAGGTGCGCGCGGAGGCGCGTGCCGCGTCGGCCGATCCGTCGTTGAGCTGAGCCCGTCGAGCGGAGGCTTGTCGCGATGATGTGTCGTCGTCGTCGTCATCGTCGTCGTCGTCGTCTCCGTCGTCGGTGCCGTCGTCGTGGTTGTCGTCGTCGTCGTTGTCGTCGACGCCGCCGTCGTCGTCGTCGTCGTCGCCCCCCCGCGTCGGGGGGGGGGGGCGCATCAGCGCGCCGAGCCTCTGGAATAGCTCCCGTCTACTTAGACGTTGGCGCCGCCAGCCGCCGTCAACATAGACGTTGCCGCCGCCGTGGCACCGCCAGCTGACTCAGCGCTGCGCGACGGCAGGGCCGTTTACAGCAGCAGCGGTCTGTCGCGACACATGTGTCGTATGTTGAATATCAACAGGCGACGCAGTTGTCGTATGTTGAAATTCAACATACGACAGGTGCGCCGTATGCTGAAATTCAACATACGGCAGATCACATTGATACAGACAATAATAATAGTTGTCGTATATTGAATTGCAACATACGACCGATGTGTCGCGTGGTGAAGTTCAGCATGCGACATATGTGTCGTATGTTGAAACTCAACATACGACACTCCGTTGTGTCAGGCTTGCTGCTGCTCTCAATGGCCCGTGCGTTCCTGCGCAGTTCGGAATCGCGACCGAGTGCCGCGATGACCTGCACCTCTTGCGACTGTGTGTCGCATTAGCTGGCGATGCTGCAGACGAGAGTCACAATTTATCTGGGTCGCTTGAAGTTGGCGGCGGCTCGGACAGGGTACAGCCTGTGTGAGCCGTCGCCGAGGCCTCACATATTATCGTTTCGCTTAGTCCGAGTGGCGGCGGCTTCTATTAAATTTTATCTTCGCGACGCGTCGCTAAAAACGTCACTGCCCCACCTCATCATCATCCAGCTCATCCTCGCCCTCCTCTAGCTAATCCCCCCTCCTCGGGATTTCCTCCCTCGCCCTCCCCGTCCTCCTCATCGCCCCATTCATCGTCGTCACCTGCTTCCTCCCCCGTCGTCGTCCTCATCCTCGCCCTCGTGCAATGCGAGCTCCGCCTCGCGCGGGGCACGACGGCGCCGACGCCCGCCGCCTAGCCCTCACTTGCCGGCAGCGCCCTCCGCATCATTCTTTCTCCTTCTTCTTCTGCTCTTTCTTCTTCTCCTTCTTCTTGTTCATCTTGTCCACCTCCCCCTCCAATTCCGCGGTCTTCTGGTTCTTCGCCCCCGCCTCCGCCTCCTGCTCCTCCAGCTTGTCCCCCCCTCCAGTGCTTCCGCTGCCTCCGTCTCCGCTCCGCCTCGAATCTATGGTCCTCGAGTTCCTGCATCTGTTCCTGCTGCGCCTCCACCGCCCGCGATCAAATCGCGCCCCCCCCACCCGCCCCGTCGTTCGTCCTCGTCATCGTCATCGTCCTCGTCTTGCGATCGGATTGGATTCGCTCTGCTCCACCGCGCGCAGGGCACCCGTCGCCCTGTCGACGTCCGTCTTCTACAGGTCCGCCGCCGAGGGCCCCGCGGGGCCTGGCGACGCCCCGAGGCTCCCGCGGGGGGGGGGGGGGCGACGACGCTGGCGGTTTAAGCTTGATCATATGTATGGGGGGTCGGCACACAATGATACTGAAGGGTGAGATATCTGCGGGTAGTGATATGCATCGCGATGCATCGGTATGATTGGAATGAGGGATCGGAAGGGGCACGGTGGGAATGGGGGGCCGGGGTATGGATGATTTGCGACCGTCGCGCACTGCCGCAGCAGCTGCGTCGCCGGCCACCGTCGACTCATCGCGCGACATTCGTTGCAGCCGTTGTGCCGCAAGGCGTGTTGTCAGCAGGGCTCAGTTGGCATTGCCATGCCTAGGCTCCCCATGCGCCCAACCGTCAAGGCCTTCCGGGCCCAGCGTCGCAAGGGAGACACGGCCTACTTCAACCAGAAGCTCGACTCGGCAATCATCCACAAGGGCAATTGCCTCAAGGCCGTGAAAAAGGACGCTCGCCAGGCGGCTGCATTTGATATGCATTGCGCGTCGCCGCGAATTTGTCTGGGCGTTGTACAAAGCGGTTGCGTTGTATGTGCCTAACTTGTTATATATTGTGGTGCGCGGTACGCGCTTGCATCTGCTGTGCAAAAGATATGCATAATTGCCATGTGCTTGATTGGTCGTGCATCTGGGTGGCAGCGAGCACGGTCGGCGTGATCACGCCCATGTGCATTCGCTGAAGTGGCGCGGGGTCGCCCCATCATAGGCGGGGAAGACCTTCGAGGCATTGGAGAAGGCGATGACGAAGACCGAGAATGCAGAATCTGCTTTTCGTCAAGCATTGGCAATCGCCGACGTCAGCAAGCAGGCGCTCGGCCGTGCGATGAGTCGCATCTTTGATATGGGTGGCCTCATTCGGGTGCGCGGGCGGAAGGCCGTTGGCGTCGTGGAACACGCCGTGGTCCTCGAGCGGGTGCGCGGTCCTTGAGTGTCTAGTGGCTAGTGCGTTCGCGCATTGTAGATGGCGTGCGCGCGCGCGCCTGCTGCATTGCTCGCGCCTGCCACGGGGGTGTGGCTGTTGCGTCGGTGCCATAGAAACCGAGCGCAGCTTGCGTGCTGCTCATCCCCCCCCCCACCCCCGCCCCCCGCGCCCCCCCGATGGCGATGATGTTGGCATTGTGTAGTGGGAAGGTGGGGGCTCTGGGATAGTCGTGTCGGGCCATGTCGGCTCAGTGGCGCCGGCGGTATACGCGCCGATCCCCCAGCGCCCCTCGCCCCAGCGGCCGCCCGCTCCAGCCGTGGGCACAGCGGTAAAGGAGCGTCAGATGGATGCGCAGAGCCGCGCAAGTATCAAGTACGATCGCACTGAGAAGCGTGGGAATGCAAAGGTCACCAAGTCAGCCTGCCCCAGAGAGTTCAAACGCACATCGAAACAGGTGGCCATGACGAGGGTGAACGGGCAAACACCATGCATACTTTATTCAGTGTTGTGGGGTAGCGTATATCAGCACGCTTGCACACTTTCCCACAGGTCGAGGAGAATTGCAGGAAGTTCACTGCTGCCAAGACTCAGATGGAAGACGCCAAGGCGGCATGGATGTCGTCCATATGCGACCGCCTTGCCGCTCTGGTGATGCTGAGCGATGCGTCTGATGCGCTCGATCGGATCAAGGCCGAGCGCGCCCCGCGGACCTAGTGGGTGGGCGACGCATCGCCATTGCGACAGACCGCATAGCCATCATGCGGCACGCCGCGGGAGAAACGCCCAGCGGGGGGGGGCGGGCACCGGCGTTGCCGCCATCGTCTCCGCCACCGCACTTGCCGAACGATGGGCGTCGTTGCGGGTGGGCGATGGTGGGCCCGTGTCTTGGGAGGGGGTGATCGGGGCACGTGGAGCGCGGTCGCGATGGCCGCGATGAGCCCCGTGACCCCCGCCAGCGACGTGATCGTGCGACCACGCATTGTCGGAACTGCCGTCGTTTATGTAGGCTTTTAGGCTCGAGCGAGTCTGTTCGCGTTGGCCGCCCCGCTCTCGAGGGCAGTGCTGCGCTGCAGCAGAGGACATTGCTGCGCTGCAGCAGTCATGGCCACTGTACCCAACATCATCGCAGAGTTGAGTCGAATGAGGTAGATTGGGTGCATACTCAGATTGGATGCGGGCTGGGCCCAACAAGTTGCGCCAATCAGCATGTCGATGGCCTCAATGCTAAGATCAGGAGCCTCTCGACCATCTCCGTGGAGGAGGCAACTGAACTCGCCACCGCAATCCGCACCAACGCGCTGAGCGAGTGGACTGAGGCGCAGATCGCTGAACTGTCCAGCGCAGTCGGCGCGAAGTGCCATGGCACTGCTAACGCGGGGAAAAGCGGTGGCAAGCAGTTGTTGCCTTCCCCAAGTTCATGACGGCAGCCGAGATCGACTCGTTCAAGAGCGGCAATATCCGAGAGAGCAATGATCCAGGTCGTCGTCAAGCGTGCCCACAAATTGGGCATGCACACGCTGAGCGAGACGGCCAAAGGGCATATTGCCGCCGTGGTCGCCAGGGCCAGTAACGTCGAGGCGACGGGCCGGGCGTGGTGCGAGCTCCTGCGGAAGGTCAAGAAGGGCCTCGGAGCTATGAAGAGCTCGTCGCGGCGGAGTCGCACGATATGGAAGTATGACAACCCCTCGGATATCATGGTCGAGCCGTGGCGCGAGGCAGCGTGCAGCGACGGTGCCCCGTCTGGCGATGCATGGGAGATCGAGGCGCCCGACTTTGCCAGGGCGAGCCGCAGGAACGCTGGCAAGTCGGAGCGCAGTCCCGCGGGCGCTGCCGCGGCGCCCGCAGCGGCCATGTCGCCATCCGAGCTCGGGGCGTACCAGAGCATGTTCGGGAATTGCATGGCGCGCGTGCTCTTCAGCCACGCCATGGCCGCCGCCGCCGCTGCCGCGCCGCCGCCTGCGACGCCGTCGCAGTGGTTGGCATTGGCGCCGCCTGCGACGCCGTCGCATTGGTTGCCAGCGCAAGGGCTCGCGCCGCCGCTCAAGGCAGCAGCCCCGGCGGCCCCGGCGGCCGTGCCTGAGGTCGCACCAGTCGCAGCGGCAGTGGCCGCCGAGAAGGCGCCTGTGCCCGAGGAGGCGGCCGCGCCGCCTGGTGAGCCTTCCTTGTCGGATGAGGAGGCTGAGTTGCGCAAGAGCATGTCGACTCGCGCCGCGCTGCGCCGCCCTGCTGCGGCCGCCGAACCCCCCGACGTGGATGCGGATGATGCGGTGCGCAAGCGACCAGCCGCGCGCGGCGGCCCAGTACCGAAGGCGATTGAGGTCGCCGCGACGGCTGTCAAAAAGAAGCCCGCCGCGGCGAAGTCCACCGCGAAGCCGTCGAAGCTCCCAGCGCCACCCATGGGTGAGGGAGCTCCGCCCCTGCATTGCAGGGTGGGCGCCGTGACCGCGAATTGGAAGATGAGCACCTACAGGGCCACCGTGGGGAGAGCGGACATGCGGGCCCGCTGGGGCACGGGGTGCTACGCCCGCCGGGAGGCTTTTGCAAAGGCGCTTGCGTTCATTGACGATCGGTCGTGAGTTGTGATCGTCATGCTTGACTGCGTCGCGTCATCCTTTTACAGCGCGGCGATAGGCTCGCCTTATACTGACATGCTAGGGCGCACGCATACATGATTGAGTTTTTGGGTTGTATCTGTTGTTCGTGCCGCGCGTCTCGTTGCAGTTCTACGGTCTTGGTCTGTCTCGCCACAACAATCAGAGCCGCCTGCGTTGACTCAACTTAGGTGACATGGTCGACACATATTGCATTTTGCTAGGGTAAACCCACACCGACGAATGTAGTGTACCCTGCGCAACTCCACGCTATCCATCACGGTCTGCCCGAATACAGTGCATCGAGCGGAACTCCTCTAGGCAAGATGTTTGCATGCTGTGTCGTGTAAGTCGTGCAAGCCCAATGCCTTTCAAGTCGCGCGCATACGCGCCAGTCATGCCTTGCATGTATCATGCATCGCATCATTTGTACCAGTCGTCTGTGATAGGACGGGGTCGAATTCGTTGAGATTGGCCTGAGTATTCGTATGGCCGGCCGTGTTTTGTGACCGAGCCTCGCGCGCATTGCAACTGATGCAAGCACGCAGGCACGCCATGCAAGTCATGCGTATCTGCGTTGCTGGGCCAACACCTATGGAACACGTGGCCATTGACGAGATCGTGTGCGATGCAACGACATTCACAAATTTCGCGTGCTGCGGAGCGCCCTTATCCGTGTTGTCCATGCGATGCATATAATCGGTGCGTCGCAACAAATTTATATCATCCGTAGCCGGTTTGGCCCCAGTCGATGGCATGGCGTCGTCGACGCCGCGAAAGCGACCCCCGTCTCGCACGGCGGGCGCCGAAGCGCACGTCGAGATCCACCGCGGACCGTACATCTCCGAACGAGGACTTTCCAATGCATTCAAATATATCAGAGACAATGCCAGATGCAGTTTCAAGAGCTGCGCAATATCGTGCGAAGGAGGTGGTCGTTGCTAAAGAAACGACACCTTACGGACACTTGCTGCAATACGTTGACATGCAATTGGAAAACGGCCAGCCATTCCAAAACTGGGCGTGTTCACCAGGGCCCATGCTTTATGCCGCGTGCAAGGCTAGCAGCGGGTTCAGGTCGTTGATGCGACAGCAGCTGTGTAGGTACCCGTGTACTGTACGCCAGCACGTCCACGGCGAATTTGCTTTTACTTTGACGGGATCTGGCCGCGAGACCCGTTGGCCAAAGGCAGAGATTATAGAGGGGTCGATGCTATCTATTGGAGCTTCTTGGAGTTCGACGAGCATCTCTCCAACGAAGACGCGTGTTTTGTCTTGTCCGCGGCAAGAGTTGCCATGGTGCGCAAACTCCCAGGCGGCATTGGCCGGTCGTTGCGCATCCTTCTCAAGAGGCTGTTCTTCAACGCCGATGCTGGTGAAGTCAATCTGAAGACTGCGGGCATCACGCTCGATGTGGCTGAGAATGGCGACGGCGCGGCGCACGCGACACTGGTCGCGAATCTAGAATGTACCATCGGGGACGAGGAAACATTGCGGGAGCTACACATGAACAAAGGGCACGCTGGGACCAATCCGTGCTCCATAGGCCGAAGCATAGTGAATCAGAAGCTCGATTATAGCTTGTATGACCCGACAGGCTTGTACGTGTCAGATGCATTTATAGACACAAGTAAGTGGGTCACTAGCACAGACGAAACCGTCGTTGCGATCCTTCGCAGAAGCCGCCCCACTGGGAACGAATGGAGAATGGCGAGATACAGGATGAACGATTCAGGGTGCTCACGCAGCTTTGCGGGTGGAACTATCATCCAAATCATATAGCACTCGACCCTACGGGGTCATGTCGATGCTGTGCTTCGATTGGATGCATGTCTATGTCGTAGACGGCATCGTTGATCAAGAGACCGCTGCCTTCCTCAGCGATCGCTCGGTCGCTTCTACCGTTAACGGCAGCGACCTCGACGCATACTTGCAGGCGTGGACGTGGCCGAAAGATGTCAAACACGCCCGTCGGGTTTTCGACGCGGGCGAGTTCGCTGCGGGCGCGTCTGAAACGTTGTCAGCCATGCCCGTGCTCGCACGCTACGTCAGAGAAGTAGTCGCCAAAGTTGCAGGCGCGCCTGCATGCGCCAAAGACATATCGAGCTTCCTGGCGTTGTGCGACGCCTTGGACTTGTTCGTTGCACTGGCGAGGGGCGCGAGCGTCAGTCACGCCGAGCTGTCTGCTGCTATTGCGCATCATCTTCGGCTGCACCAGGAGTGCTATGGTACCGAAGTCTGGTCTTACCAGTTCCATATGGCTATGCACCTCCCCGACACGTACCAGAAGTTTGGTTTATCCCCATGTGTTGTGCACGAGCGTAAACGCAAAGTTGTCGAGCGGTTTACGCACGATCACACGTGCTTGAGGCGTCCTGAAAAGGCATTGATGTTGCAGCTGATCGCCCAGCACCGTCACAAACTAAGCCTCTTCAGCGTTGCAATTGCGTTGCAGGATTCGATTTCAGCGTCTACGACGTTGATCGAATGCCTAACGCATTTGCGCCCCCAGACGCAGACGGCTGTGTCGAATGCAAAAGCGTGCAAGAGCAACAATTCAGTCAGTAGGGGTGACATTGTTCTGATGGGTCGTGGTACTGGTCGCTCAGCCGTGCAGATTTGGTTTCACGTGCAGTGCGACGTCGGTGCGGCGTCGCAATCGGAACCACTTAGCTTGATTCTGCGGTTGACAACTCGTCAGGTGCATTCAGGATGGAGTAGATACACCATCGACGAAGACCAGCCACCAGTCCTCGTGCCAACGAGCGCGCTCAAGCATGCTGCAGTTTTCAGGAGGACAGACTCTGTCATCACATGCATTTGGCCAACCGAATACCGCAGAAACTGTGCCTGAGTTTCATGGTTTGTTTCACTTGTATACGTGAGTTCACTTATTTACTTTTGTGGAAGATATCATATGCAATTCATAATCTGCAAATCAGCATCGCCATCATCATCATCATCATCATCATCATCACCATCATCATCATCATCAGCATCACCACATCAACCTGACATGGGAACACCCCTAACTTAAACAATTGGGAACACACCTACCCCACCAAAAACATGTTGAACACACACATGCAACAACTACTTTTTATACTTAGATATAC